TTCTAGATAGGAAGACGTAAGGATCTTCAATTCAATTCGCCTGCACACGTGCAGTCACAAAACCACAAAACTTCTCATCTGATTTTTATTAAGTTATTATTAGTAACTTAGTTTGCTATTGTCAGAGGTGAGCCTACTTTAGGGAAGACAAAGCCAGAAACAATACTCAGGCAAATTACAACCAAGAAGGGGCAGGTACTCACTCGAATACTTTGAAGATAATAATTCATTTTGAGTTGAGAGTTAGCTGTTGATTGCTTTTTTTAAGAACCTTTGTTCTTTCCATGTCTGTGCAAATTAAGCTAAATAGAGAGAATCTCCTGGCCTTTTGAAGTTAATTATTTTTTTTTAACGGGTGAAGTCATCAACATTCTTCAGTCTATAGTAATTCTTTCTGTAGGGAACAGCTGATCTACTACTCTAATTCATGCATACCTGCGTGTAGAGAGTCTTGTTCATGGAAATATGCCAGGTTGATTTGGCGTGTTTACTAACAAGGAATTTGGTACAATATACAATTTTATTGTAGGTCTACAGTATGATTCAGGGAAAAAGAGATGTAGACACTGTGTTAACTATGGGAATCATGGAAGATGTTAGCATTATTCCTCAGCCAGCAGGTAATAAATTGTAATGAAAAATGGGCTTCATTTGAGTTCAGTAGCTATTAGGAAGGTAAATTGTCAGTATAACCGTTCCTTGAAACTAGCGTATTTTGTTTCTGCAATATTGTAGATACAGGGAAGGTTGATTTGGTGATGAATGTGGTGGAGCGTCCTAGTGGAGGATTTTCAGCAGGTGGTGGAATATCGAGTGGGTGAGTCGTACTAATTTCAAGCATGCATTCATGGAGTTAATACACACTAAATAACTAATTCCTCTGCTGCATGGTCTAACTCTGTTATTTATGATCACAGGATTACCAGTGGTCCTCTGTCTGGACTTATTGGAAGGTGAGCTCATACGCCTCATTGCATCATGCTGCTGTAAAGTTATTAGCGGATGATTTATCCTGCAGCATCGTATTTTTTCCTTCTATGTTATTATTAATATAATCTAAGCTCCCTTGCTGCAATGTAAGCCATTTTGAGGCTGATTTATCTGGCTTCTGTTACTCTTATACTGCTTAATGGCATTGATAAATATGTGTACAAGCCAACTCGAGTTATAATGTAGGGTTTTGGTGTTAGATGAGGGTAAGTGTTTAGTGAGTGAATGTTGCTATTTTCAGAATTGTAGCTCATCTTGCTTAGACTTGTACTCTTACTCCGGCAAGATTATTGCTAATTTTGGTGTCATTTTGAGCTTGGGTTCCATCAACATGTGTACATTGTTAGTATTGTCAACCGAATAAAAGCGTTTCTTATTGATATCTATGTTTATAATGTTTGCTGAATTTCCACCTTAAAAGATTGAATAGTTGATACAGCTGGTGTAATCGTTCATACTATGATTATTGCAGCTTTGCCTATTCTCATAGGAATGTTTTTGGACGCAACCAGAAACTCAATATATCCTTGGAGAGGGGTCAGATTGACTCAATATTTCGGATAAACTTCACAGACCCTTGGATTCAAGGAGATGACAAACGAACATCTAGGACAATAATGATTCAGGTAATTTGAAGGTTTATTTTGTCCCTGTTCAACTTCTGTAATCTTGATGCTTTTAAGCTAAAGGTTGTGTCTTCTGGCATGTCCTTTACTTCTTACTAGAACTCAAGAACCCCTGGAACAGTTGTTCATGGTAACCAGCCTGATAATAGTAGCCTGACCATTGGTCGTGTCACAGCTGGTATAGAGTTCAGTCGACCTGTCAGGCCAAAGTGGAGTGGAACTGCAGGGCTTATTTTTCAGGTACTTAAATTCACAATTTAAGTAGCGAGGCTGGTTTTTGTGAGTGGTTGTTTTTCCTCCTATTTTTTAATCATTTCTGAATAAGCAATAAGCTAAGTTGTATTCCCTTTTCTTTTAATGATTGCTTTTACTCCAGCATGCCGGGGTTCGTGACGACAAAGGGACTCCTATCATCAAGGATGGTTACAGTAGTCCTCTCACTGCAGGGTTTGCAACCTAAAAATAAATGCTGCATTTGTTTTGGTTTCTTGTTTCTAATATTTTCGCCAATGTCTCCCTGCAGTGGAAATACCCATGATGACATGTTGCTTGCTAAATTTGAGACTGTTTACACTGGTTCTGGCGATCATGGGTCTTCTATGGTCTGTTATATACTCTTCTGTCCTGTAATGCAAATTTCTCTTCTTGATTCTCACTTTTATTTGCTTGGTTTTGTAGCTTGTCTTCAATATGGAACAGGGACTTCCTCTTTTGCCTGAGTGGTTGTCCTTCAATAGGACGAATGTGCGTGCTAGGACGAGCATTGAGATAGGTCCTACTCGCTTTCTTTTAAGGTATGGAATAAATGTGCTTCTTTCTTGAACAAGAATGATGTGTCTTCCCTGTAAAACAAAAGCAGATTATCTGTTGTTATCAAAAAATGAACCAATGATCTATTTTGCATTTGTTAATTTTCATTGGTAGCCTCTCTGGTGGTCATGTGGTGGGAAATTTCTCTCCCTTTGAAGCATTCCCTATTGGCGGAACAAATAGTGTGAGAGGCTACGAAGAAGGTGCTGTGGGCTCTGGTCGATCATATATTGTTGGCTCTGGAGAAGTTTCTTTCCCGATGGTATTTGAATTTGTTGAACGTGTTTTTGTAGATGCCCATGGATACATGCATTTGGCGAAAAATAAGTTTGGAGAGAAGTTGGTTCACTGATCTTAATACTGTTTCTGTTTGCAGTTGAGGCCAGTAGAAGGAGTTTTATTTTCCGACTATGGAACAGATCTTGGATCAGGCTCAACTGTTCCTGGTAGGCTCAACTGTTAATTTTTGTGAAATATATGATATAAAACATATGACAAGTGATGCTAGGTTAGTATTAAGATTCAACAGTCAAGTCAAGTGGCACAATATCTAAATTGTCTTAATTGAACAATTTTAACCATTAAACATTTGAGTCTTTTGATGCCTTTCTGTGGAGATGTGTTTGCGAATCACATTTTGGTTTTTATAAGGTGACCCTGCTGGAGCAAGGCTGAAACCTGGGAGCGGATGCGGATATGGGTTTGGGATCCGTGTGGATTCTCCATTGGGTCCTTTGCGTCTTGAGTATGCCTTTAATGGTAATCGTGAAAGGAGATTTCACTTCGGAGTCGGTCATAGAAACTAAACGTTTAGCCTGCCGCCCGGAGCCCACTTTGTTCTTCCCCGTGTCCTCACGAAAGCTTGCTTTGTCATCCTTGTGAAATAGCGTATGGCCTTTTGTTTTCCCAATATTAATTAGCTGTCCTGATGGCTTCTTTTAACGGTTAGATTGCTAATGCCTCGCATGAAATGGCTTGCTTCCATTTTGATTCCAAGGAGGGAGGTTGGTTCACTGTTGGGGACACAGCGCCTTGGTGAGCATGCCAAGGCTGGGGCATGTCTCTTCCCAGTTTAGAATAGGGAGACTCTTTGACTTCTTCCCCTCGTCCTCTGCTGTACATATGCTGTTGGAATTTTGGAGACAATATCGTATATTCAATATTCTTGTAATCCATATTTTCAACATTCACATGTCATTGGTGGTTTTGAACTGCTGTGCCATTGACAAAGATCTCGTGTGTCAAGTTCTGACTTGCACGTATTCTCCCACCCAGATGTTTATATTTATTTGTTTGTTTGTTTGATCGAATGGTCAAATGCATTGAGAGTCGAAAGTAACGTACGTCAGGTTAAGAAATAGACAACACGAAACACACCAAGTTAAAGCAACTTGTGACGACATTAACGAGGGTTTGGTGAGAAGAAAAAGTTTTTTTTTTAAATTTTTTTTTGTAAAATGAGATTAATTTTTTTACATACTTATTTTTTATAATGTAAAAGTACTTTTAAAATTTTGGTTTCTGTATCCTCTAACTTCTAAAATAGATGTAGCAGACTTTTTTTGGCTAGAAATTAAGTTTAATTAATAAAACCTGCTATCGGTACATAGAAAAGCCGAGCCGCAGTGATGGCACGGATGGGCAAAGCAGAAAGAGAATAAAAGTTGACGGACGTGAATCATGATGACCCCTTTTGACTCATGAAGCCATCTTCACGGCGGATCCAACTAATTAAATCATCCGCACTTTTTATTCATGTCTGCACTCACAGAGGGTAGGAGCATGTACATAGGCATATGAGGCAACAAACTGCATCTGTTTCAAATACAAGGCGAGTTTTGGAAAGTCACATGAGATATTTTGCAAATTTTCAAGGGTAATTAATGTCTGTTTTCCTAAAATGTGCTTAAGTGTATATTAAAATTACTTACCTCTTTTTTCATAACATAATTTCAATTACCTGTAGGTAAACGTGCGTTTAATTAAGTAATAAATATCTGTTTACGAGGATGTTTGAAAGAGGGAGGATATTGTAAGAAATTGGGTGAAGTACAAAGAGGTGTGATCCGCAGCGGAACGGATTGTTCCGTTTGGCCCCGGAGAGAGTGAAGGAGACAAGCGGATCCCCAGAGAGAGTGATCTGCAAAAGATAGAGAAAGAGGAGAGAGAGTGAAGAGTGCAGCCGGGCAGACAGAGGACACAGACACAGTCTCTGTGCTGTTTGGGGAGCCAAGCCGACCCACGGCGTGCAGGCCAAAGCATTTGCTGCTTCGCTTCCCAGCTATTTCTATTCCCCATGACGTGAATTTCACACTGAAGCCTCTCACCCATGCACTTCTTTTTTAATAAGCTCATTACATTCTCTCAAAAAAGACGTTGTTAGATTAATCACAATGACTACTGTAGACGTATAAGCCGTTGATTCCAAGTCCCAAGACAAGCTCATGAATGATCATTCATATATATATATATATATATATATATATATCTTTCATCTGCTCCCACACTATACCTGAATCATCACTCCAGCTATTCCCGATTTGCCTGATCAAGCATTCTCCATATTGTGATTAGGTTAGGTCACAGTTCGCAAAGTGATTTCTTGTCGCTGCCTTTTTGCTTCAATTGAATGGGTCCAACCACATTGGATTTCTGCCCATGCTTCCTCTCTCTCTCTCTCATGGATCTTTCATGCATCTCACTTTTACTATTTAATGATTCCCTTTTATCTCTCCCTCCACTGCCACTTCCTTTAGTTTCCTTTCCTTCTACTCTCGCATTTTACAAACCTAGCCTTTGAACCTCCCTTCCCTGGTTCCCACTTTTTAACATGACCGACCCCTACTGCCCCGAAGCCTTCAATTCTCCCTTCCTTTTCTCCTCCTCCTTTAACTTTCCTTGTGCTCATTTTAACTCGTCATCTCTCGCTTTACCCTCTTCTCCTCCTCCGAGAGAAGCCCTACCTCTCCTTAACCTAAGCCCTCCAAGACATGACGAAGATGATATGCAAGTAGACATCAAGCAGAAAGAAGGAGCCACGGGGTGTGGTTCTTTGAATGATGATCCTGTGACGTTGGCTTTGCAGTTACACCTCGGCCTTCCAACCCCAAGCAGTTCATCGCCTGACTTGGCTGATTCGAACCTATGCTCCTCAGAGACAGTTTCAGACAAAGACGAAGTCACAACTGTATCTTCTGGGTATCTCTCTGATAGGATCACTCCAGGCGGTCAGTATTGGATCCCTACCCAAGCTCAGATTCTGATTGGTCCCACACAGTTCTCCTGCCCTCTTTGTTTCAAGACCTTCAACAGATACAACAACATGCAGGTTTGTCCTCTTCCATCCTGCTCAACATTGATTATTCATTCTCTCAAGAGGAGAGAGAAATATTTTAAGATTGAAAGAAAGGGTGTCTTTCCCTTTCCTTTTCCCTCCTCGATCTCTCATCTTACTTTTCGTGAACATTTGCTGTGAAAGAGAAGAGCCTAATTCAAAGTTTTCACCTATGTATGTCATGGCTTCATTTAACCAAATTAAAGGTGTTAGATTTGTTAAAGTCTTTGTCCGTTTTAGGGTTTTCCATTACTTCCTCTTTTACTCAAGATCGCATTATTCCCTCTTTGTGAAACTATTCTATATACTTTAGGTCTGTTTCACGTATATTCACACCTACATAGGTATATTTCTATTTCCGCTGAACTATTCTACGTACCGACATGCACCTTGTTAATTAATACTTTGGCGTGTCCCCCACTTTGTTCAGCAGTACAAACTTGAGGTGTCCAAAGATGGATAATCGCTCACTAGGGTTTAATGTAATATGAGATCTAAGTTTAAACCCAAGAACAATCTGAACACCGAGGAGGCAGAAAATGAGAACGACTTCAAGTAAAAGCATATTAAGCTAAATAGGTGACCATTATTGCTAGCCAAAAGATATAGATGCACAGTGTTCCAAATCGTTTTCAGCTTTTCCAACTTTTCCTTTATAAGGATACCCTACACCGTTGCCTTTTCATTTATGCTCCATGAAATAAGTGATCAAACGTGTTGAGAAAGGATGCGATTCACACATCCTTCTAGCTAGCGCTAGCAGCTAGGTATAGCCAGCCTTCTGACTCCCGAACTTGGCCGACATTGGAAATTAGTTTAAAAATAAACGACACGGTCACGTCGCATAGACCTAATTATAGGTAATTATTAGCAATTACATGTTAATTGTTTCACTTATCAGCCACAGATTTTAGTTCAGATCCACTGAATTGAAGAATTGATGCATGGAACTGCTTTTGTTAAGATCGATCAGTGTTGATGTGTAGATGCATATGTGGGGGCATGGATCTGAATACAGAAGGGGACCAGAGTCTCTAAGGGGGACACAGCCAACAGCAATGCTGAGGCTTCCATGCTATTGTTGTGCACCTGGGTGCAAGAACAACATCGAGCATCCCAGAGCTAAACCTCTAAAAGACTTCAGAACCCTTCAAACCCATTACAAGAGAAAGCACGGGATAAAGCCTTTCATGTGTAGAAAATGTTGCAAAGCATTTGCAGTGAGAGGTGATTGGAGAACTCACGAGAAGAACTGTGGCAAACTCTGGTATTGCTCCTGTGGCTCTGACTTCAAGCATAAAAGATCTCTTAAGGATCATGTCAAGGCTTTCGGACATAGCCACACGCCTTGTGGTGTTGACTGTCTCCATCAGGATGAAGTGCCCTCTGAAATTGACCACCCAAATGACTCCTTTCATTCTCATCATAACTAATTGTATTATGGGTTAATTCCGCCACTTTGTATAATTAGTCAGGAGCTTTAGCTGTGGTTTCTCACATTGAACTAATTTTTGCTTTCGACTTTTGGACTTGTGCATGACTAGCATATTAATGAAGCAAATTTGTTCCTTTTGGGTTTCGGTTTCCTTTTATCCACGTCTCTCTTGCTCCAAACGTAACCCAGAGATAAATTGATGCTAGGATCGATCTCGACACATACTCAAATGCCAAAAGATACTCAATTTGAAAAGGTTTATATAATGTGCATCCAACGTTTGCTCTCGCCTTTGGCCAAAAAAAAAAAAGGTTTGCTCTCGCCAGCTAGCTAGCGTTGTTATCGCTCAGAATCTGCACCGTGAGTACACGATGTATGTTAGGAATATAGTATATGCTAACAAAGACTATGAATTAAAAAGAAAGTGTTTTTAGGGTCTCTCAGCTCGGGTAACTGCTATCGGTTGTAAAGTTTCAAATGGAACGTTAATTGTAAACTGAGTGTTTGGATAGAAATCAAACCATAGTTTCAGAAATGTTTTTACAGTTTACAAAGTAAATATGTGGTGAAGTTTGTTTCGTTTTACAAAAAAAAAAATCCTTCTAAAACTATAATTTGCAAGTTACCAAACACTCTTAAATGCGAAGGAGTATGATCCAAGGTTTCAAAGAAGCGACTTGAAGGTATCAGTATAGGGGGCGATACCCATTGATGGAAAAGAAACTAAGGGGTCGTAATTAAAGTGTGAGAAAAGAATAAAATAATGAGAGGAAGGAGCAAAAAGCAAGTTGCCTGAGGCTCATGAACGTGTGTCATGGGGTCAGCTTTAGGAGGCAATTATACTGCCATTTCCTTTGTGATGGACACATCATATACTACGTTGCCGACTCGCTGTAATGATTCCGTTGAAATGATGAGGAATTCAAGAGAAAAAGGGTTCCGTTTTTAAAAAAATGGGAAACGTAATCATAACAGGAGGGACGCACTGGATCTGAAATGAAGCAGTGATGGATGCGGGCTCTTGAAATGTCATTTCAAAAAGTACAGTGTATTTGGATTATTCAGAGTATAATCTGTAGTGTGCTTCAGCAGTGTGGAAGTCCAACTGTACTATGTTGTTATTTCCACTTTTCACAGCAAAATTACAATAAAAATAACAACTTTGTTGCTGGGGTTCTTTTTCTTTGGCAAGAGCGTTGTTTGCAACTGCTGGGGTTGAGAGGCGAATGAGTAATGAAGAGGGATTTTTTTGGCCTGTAGTAATGAAGAGAGATTACCGTAAAAGATTAAGCGGAACAGTGAAATGGGTGATGAAATCGATAACTAATAATGAAGTTTGGGTTCTTTTACTTTTCTTGTGTGTGAATGGATTACAGAGTAGCGTCAATCCGTCACACCAACCCTCCTGACCTAAGTAGCAGCCTCCACAAGAGACAAGATTTACCCACGCTTCCGGTAAGTGCCTTTAGTTTCTGCTTGGCCATAGTTTTTTAAGATATTCGACTTGTTTGATGGGAAAATTACTATATGGTCCCCCCAAAAAAATAATGATCATAAAGTCTCAATACCAAATGTCTTCTTTGGTCTTTTTTTTGGCCAAAAAAATCAATCAAGTATCATATATGAATATGTGTGTGCTGCAATACTTTTTGGGTCAATTGTTCTGTGTGGCACTTTATCCGATCTATATTAATTCCAGGAACCCTATCTCTTTCGTGAATATGAATAGCTAGGGAGCAATTTGTAGCTAAGGAATAGAGCTCATGTTGTCGTCTAGGTCCATCCGGGACCTAGCCTCGCAGTGGGAGGAAGTAGCCTTTAATTTGTCTCCTAAATCAATGCGTTTGTGTGAGTTAATGGGAAGACGCTTTCATCCAAAATTGCTTTCCACTATATAGAATTTGCTGGGGGCATTGATGGAGTTCATTGCAGAAACTGATCCAGCAGTCCGCTACGACACAAATTCCAACTCAACTCTTCGCCTTCATGTAGTTTGTTGATACAAAGGCACGAGAATAAGGAATTTCGGGGCAACGCAAAATGATGGGAATAAAGATTAATATAAATACTATTTAGTTAGTAATAGATGCCCATATTATATGCTGATTATGAATAATATATAACTCGATTCATACTCCGCGAGACACATTTATTTCTAGTTTAATAAATATAAAATGACAGAGGGCGTCTGTTGGGATGTGAATCAGTCATCGGAGTTTTTCTTATATATTTTAATTAATTGTCTGCATGACGTAAATTTACAAAATGCTGGCTTGTTCGGTCACTGCCGAAAATGTTGAGCGGACTGAGATAACAGCCATTTCGTTGTGCTCAACGCTCGTGAACCTGATCAAAACAAGATCCAAAACAAAGAAGCCGGAGAAAAACGGGGCGAGGGGAAAAGCTAGTGAGTCTGGAGGTCAAAAGCATATCAGTCTCAGATGCCTTAGTTCTGTAAGTGACAACGTTACCGCCCTTGATCGAAAAGTTCTGGCGCCGCTTCCTTAATTGAGAGCTTCACGCAGCTAGTCCGGTTTTCAAGCAAAATGGAGAATTTCCAAGAAAATCAAGTATGGAGGCAAGAAATCTTATGGATTAACAATTATGCCATTATCCTTCAAATGTTCATTAACAGCGCAGTTTAAGAAAGTTGATGGCTAAACAGGAAATGGCATTCTTATGCAGTTACATTAAAGACATCTTACGCAGAATAGGAGGTTTAATAAAATACTACAGACGGCTTACAATATTATTGATGGTATTTTTCAAATTCTCTGTACATCTTTCTTCAGGGTAAATCATGAAGTCGGAGATGCATCTCTATATTGATTGTCTGATATCCTCCGCAAATGACTGTACATTCTTGCCTTTCTTATTGACAGCCCAGGCGTCTCAAATCAGATGGGATAATGCTACTATGCAGTTTATGTCAACACGGACACCTCAATCACACACGGGGAGAATGCGTCTCATTTGGAAGACACATGTTCCCAGCTACAAGTTCATATCCTCTGGTAAACTGATGCTTAGAAAATATAGGCTGCAAATCCAGTAATGTTAATGAAACATGAGCTTACTGGCAAAGATTGGTATGAAAGAAAAGCAAGCAGAATACTAGGCATGGATAAAGTTAAGAAAAAGCAAGCAGAATATGAACTTCTTGTACCCCATTTTTAAGTTTCAAGACATTGTTGAGAGGAACTAGAAGAAGATAATATATTGCTTATTTGGTAATCTCACAAGAAATATGTTTTGACAATGTCAGGCCACAAAATCAAGGTCCCCAGCTAATTCTAACTCCTTGAACGAAAAAATCCAGATAGTTTTCTAAGCCAGCCCCTCTGCACCCCTACCCACACCCAAAAAAGAAAACTGAAGAAACCAAAGGCAATGGACATTGAGGACAAAGTACAGACCAAGAATAATAGCACCAGGAAAATTTAAAACTGAGGTGACCCAATGCTATGTGGCCAACATAAGTGCACCATCTTTCCACAAAACAATTTCTTTCACCCTTTCCAACATGATTTTCGCTTGGTATCTAGAGTTAACAAGCATGAAAGGGAATTTTGCTCCCTTCAATACTTAACAACATGAATCACACCACTACTTCAAACCTTAGCAGAGAATTCATAAAATTCGAACAATAGCATCATCTCATCAAATGGTAATTTATAAAGCAATGAGATTTGTCACCTTGCGGACATGAAAGCCATCCCACAAAACACGGCCTTAACAGATTGCTTCTGTCCCGCATAATCAAATGCCAATGGCAGCATTTCATGCAGTGTTAAAAAGGCCATGACTCCACCAACTGCAGTTATTGCAGAACATAAATAATCAATATAAATACCACAAAAATGTGACATTTAAAACTTCTATTACCACAAACCTGATCCAAGCAAGCCTTCAAGAATCTCAGGACTTAAGCTGCTAGGGAATAAATAGGCTGCAGGAAAAGGAGAAAACTCATCACAGTAAATTCAAATCTATTAATGTAAAACTCCAAAAAGCATGGTTTTGTAAAAGATTAAATCTGCAAAATTATATCATGACAACTCACGTTGAGAATGATAGGGAAAGAGAGCAAGTGTACGAGGCTAAAGTAGGCATGATATCAAGCAAACATGACTCACATTCTAAAACTTGTCGATACATGGAAACCTCAAAAACCAAATGCCAAAATTTTATTCAATTTCACACCGACTACACATGATACTCCCCTGTTCCTAGAGTAAAGGTTGTGTCAAATATCCTAAATTACCTCTAACTCTAATTCCCTAAATACTATTACCCTTCTAAATTCCCATATAATACCTGTTCTCATCAATATTACCCATCATTGTCATAATATCGCATTGCTTCTTAGTCATTTTTTCCTTAAAAAAGCTCCAACGATGCAAAGCAACAAAAGGGAAATAGCTTACCAACAATAATAACACCGAGGGGCTCAGCAAAGCCAGAAAGTGAAGCCAATTTGAATGCCTGCCACTTGCTAAGATACATTCATAAACAACAAATTAAAGCTTTAGGTAATACTTTATTGTAATTAGTATAGCAAAACAAACTACAGGCGGCATACAAAAGAATGACATCAGCCAAATCAAAATTTACATGTGTACGCATCGTAGAGGTGATGTCATAAACATCTATGTTCATTTGTAGACAAGTAAGAGCATCAATATCCAAAGGCTAAAATATATATTTAGTCTTTTAACTTTGTCCAAGATTTTAATTTGGTCCCTTAAATTAAAAATATATATTTTTAGTCCTTTAACCCTAAAATTTTTTGAAAAAATGATGACATTAAAATCTTAAATGTTGATAAAATATTCTCAAATGCTAACATATTAAGTTTAATTTTCAAAAACATCCATAATTGGTACAAAAAATAATCATTGGAGCCTAATAATTTTAGAGTTAAAGGACCAAATGTATGCTTTTTAAAGTTAAAAGACAAAATTGAAACCTTGTTCAAAATTAAAGGACTAAATATATACTTTAGCCATATCCAAAAGCAGTCTCAATCTTTTCTCTTATTATATCTGACAACACAATAGAAAACCTAGATTTGATCAAAAGTATTATCCTCAAGCAACAGCCTAGCAATTGCCTCCATTGCCACAATCATATGCATGTTGCAA